CGTTGTTAAATATTGTCTTATTAGTATATAAACATTGGAAGGTAAGAAAGTGATAGATGGCCTTCTTTTCAATTTAGCACAAATGTTGTTGTTTAAAAAATAACAGAAATATTGTCATAAGCCCTTAACAATATAATTTAATAAAGTCAATAAGTATTTTACAATTTTTTAAAAAATAAAAAAAATTATTACGAGAGGTACTATTTATTTTGCATAACTTCTTCTGTTCTTCCGTGCATGGTAGACTAAATGGTCAATATATAATTTGGCGGAAAATTCTCGACTCACTTATAAAGAGGTTAAGGGGCTTGGATTCAATCCTTCTAAAATGATTTTAAATTTCGATTGTAAAAAAATAAAATAAAATCACACCGTCCAATTGTTTATATAAATTATCTATTCTAAAAATTTTTTATTATCCTAAATATAAAATTATTTTAAAAAAGTTTGTGTAGTATTAATTTAAGCCAGTAATTCGACAGACCTAGTATATTAGGGCTAGATTAATACGGGTTAGGCTTAATCAAGCTAGTCCAAATAAGTCAAACTTAAATAAAAGCCCAAATACCTAGACTTGGTTCGAATCTCATCGAGCTTCGAGCTTATTTGGACCAATACTCAAATTATTCTTTTTTTTAAATTAATTTTAATTTACATTTTTACTTTTAAAATTTATTTTTTTTATTTTATAAAAATATATAAAATATATATTTTGGATATTTAAACGATATAAAAGACTCAATTTTTTTTGAAATATGTGAGTCTTAAAATTTAACAATCAATATTAAAATACATTTTAAATGTTATATTGAGATATTTATGAATTAAAAATAATAAAAATATGACAATATAAATATTTTAAATTTTTTATTAAAAAATATTTATAAAAATGTACTTAAAGATATGGTATCTTTGTATAAAATAATTTAAAAGTTAAAAAGAATTCATATTTAATATATTTTTTAAAATAATTTTTTTGTATTCAGGTATTCGTGCTAAGTTCAAATCCAATTTAGCTTGTCTTGAAATAGGTGGGCCAGAACATTAAAAAAAAGTATAATTTTATTAAATCTAGTTTTAAATATTTTCTTGCTTATTCGAGGCTTATTGGCTATAGTATTAATTATTTTATATAAAAAAACCTTTTCTTGTCAATTTCCAATGAAAAAATAGAGCATATGCATTAACATTTATAGTACATATTTATTAAGGTTAAAAATAACAAATTAGACAATTAAAAAGCTCTCCTTATCATGCATTGTTTTGTCATCAAACAGGGAGTAGTTTTTTCATGTCTTTTTCTTTTTTCTTTTTATACAAAGGCAAGCAAAAGCTTGAAAGAAGAGGAAAAAAAAAAAGCAAAGAGAACAAACAGATCAAAGCCAAAAGCATAACGTTCGTCCTCTGAAAACATGCTAAAATAGCCAATTGGAACGCCAGGCACCCAACTGATCTGTGAATGTCCACTATAGCCAAGTTTGTGTGTATTGGTTGAGTTCCACTCCTTTAGTGAGAAACAAAATATCCTTGATATAAGTTAGATCATTGCAAAGGTGATGATCTAGAGCCTTGTCACACTGGAGTGTGCTGAGAGCATTTATAGAATTTGAATAAAGCTTCAGCCCAAGAAAGTTCAGCTTTAACATACTTCAAGACCAGTCTTAATTGCTATAATCTCATCATCAGTTACTGGGCATTGGCTTAAGTTCTTACGGAAGCCCATTGTCCATTCTCCTTTATGGTTTCTAATTACTCCTCCAGAAGTAGCATTTTGGTAGCTTCGAACAGAGGCATCCACATCAACACGAAAATAAGAATTAGGGGGTGGAGTCCATACCTCTTCGTGTTTACGGAACTTGCGAAAGACTTTGTGGAGGAGCTCATCTTGAGACTCCTGCTCCATCAGCAAGTGAAAGCACTTATGTAGTATTTCGTTGGGACTTGGATTGAGGCTTTCAAAGATAAATTTGCAACAAGAAGTCGATAGCTCCTAACAAATCATGCTAAAAATGCGAGTCCATGGCCTCTTGCAGAACTTTTCACGTCCTGGGTTATTGCTTGATATTCCATTTTACCCAGCCTTGTAAGTCACTAGAAAAGAAATGGTTAAGGTCGTTAGTATTTAAGATTTCCTTCCATAGTGTTTTCGCTCTATCACAATCACGCACAATATGAAGAACATTCTCCTCACATCCACATCTAAAGGGACAAAGGAGATTATTGTTGAGATCTCTCCTAACTCTGAGTGAATTCGTGACTATTTTCTCACAGGCCATTTGCCACATAAAAAATTTGACTTTTTCTAAGACATGCCACCTCCAAAGTTTGTGCCAATAGTAGATTTGGTTCATGTTGGCTATGCATGTGGTGAAGTCATAGGCATTTTTTGTCGGATATTATATATATTTACGAGTATTTTAAAAGAAATTATTATAAATTAACAATATTAAATACTATTTAAAATAATCTTAAACCCTATTATTACATGAAACCATTTTTTAATTGTGTTTAATGTGTTTTTATTACCTAATTTTTGAGATATCTGCCTATAAAGGCAATGTTGGTGACATGCTTTTGGAAGGCCTCAAAGATGGGCTTTCTCTCGTCCTCTCTCATTGTTTCAACATGCTAATATTGCCTGAGTTATTCTAGAAAATTTTGTTATTCTATGTCCCTATTTTTTTTGCAGGAAAAGTTTGTTTAATCTCAAAAAGCTGCCGCTATTTCACTGTCGTGAAATAGCTCTTAAAGATAGTGCTCTTCGGCACAACTCAGACTATAATTTTACTTGCTGGTGCCAACAATTTTGACTTACAATTTTCCGTCTGTGGCAGGGCGCCACCATATTTCGTTATCTCTCAAAGTGAAAGGAGGTTTGATTTGCAAGATTGTAGAGATAACCCATAGGGAAGGAAATTTTTCGAGCAAAATGAATTCCAAGCACCACTTGAGGTGACATAGCCAGATACGCACTCTGTTGTGTGAATCTAATATGTATTTCTTACCACATAATGAATTAGAGGTTTAGCCAAGGGACTCCATAGATCAAATGTCATTTATCAATCTTTAAGTTAAATAGTTTTGTTTTCTAGCTACATGGGGCATGATTTGGCCACCACATTTGTATTTAGATCTTAAAAAATTGACCCACAGTGCCTTCGGTTTATTGACTAAACCCTAACAGAGCTTCAACATGAAGGCTTGATTTTGTTTATGCAAGGACTTAATATCAAGTCCACCATCACATTTCTTTTTGGTGACTTGGTCCCAAGCAATTAGGTGAAGTTTGCACATTTCATCATCTTGAGATCATAGGAAATTCTTGCTGAGTTTTTCAAGTTCTGGCAAGAACCCTTTTGGTAGGAGGAAGGATTGCATTTTGGTACCTCTTTTTGTTAGCCTTCACTCTACAGTCTATAGGACAGAGGGTGTCTTCCTTTTTTTCTCTCCATTTCTTTTCACCTCCCCCATCTTCACTTTTCATATTGTTTTATTGAATGATTTTTTAATTATAAAATTAATGAAGAGTAAAAGATTGGGAAAGTGAAGAGAAAATGAGAGGAAAAAAAGGAGACAGATTATACCTTATTTTAGTATTGTTTGCTATTATTCAAATTGTATTTCATATCCATATTATTTTCTAATCATATTAAACTAATGTGAGTCCATGTTTTTTTTTTTTGGTGATATGAAACATAGTATAAAGTGTTAATAACTTTTGAATAGTGCAAGTTCTTGGAATTTTTATATTTTGGTGTAATGTATAAAATTATATAGATTATAGGGTAAAATATTCTCATGGTAGAAAGAAGGATAAATTATTCTCACATGTGGGAAATGCTCAAATATAAAATATTCGTTGATTTTAAGAGTTTAACTATGATTAATTAAAAATGATTAGAATTTCCTGGAGGACAATGTTGATTTTATTTCAATAAAAATATAGCTTATTATTACTAAAAAGCATTTTTTACCTTGTTAATTTTAATATAATAAGAGATTTTCTTTTTTGGGAGAAGGAGTGAAGTGATCAAGTGAACCAAAAACATAAAAAAATATAGAAAAAAAATTAAAAAGGACAATTGAGAAGAGTGAAGTGATCGCTTCCGATGCCACGGAGCTTCTTCGGATGGAGTAGAGCCGAGAATAAGGGCCGGGCCTGGAGGGCTGGGCTTAGAGGCCCTGTTTAAATAAGAGTTCGGGCTTTGAAAATAATTTTTTTTAAAGTAATCGGGCTTGAGGGCTTGACCCTGATAAGCCCTGTAAAAAAGGGCTCGGGCTCGGGTAGCCCTTCAAGCCCTGTTATATTATTATTATTATTATTTTCTTTGGTGGAACATGTGTTTGAAGTTAATGACCTGCTCACCTGATCCTACATACATTATATTATTATTAATTTTAATTTATTCTAAAATTAATTTAATATAATTTAATAAATATCAACATATAGTATAAAATTCCTGATATTTTTTATTTTTTTATAATTATTATGTTTGTGTATTTATAAAAAATGAATCATTTTTTAACCAAGATTTAAATTTTATTACTAGACTTCTAAATATGTGTTGTTTAATTTTTAAAAAATTATGAAAATTTTATTTTTTTTAATCTTAGAATATTTTAATTAATTTATAATGTCTAATTTTATTTTTATTATTTTTATTTTTTAAAAAAAGGTTAATGAGCCCGACTCTGAGTCCTTCATATAAAGATCGGACTTAAAAAATAAAATTTAAAATAAAAAATCGAATTTTAAGGCTCAGATGCTTGAGGATCGGCTTCGCCCGTATTCCGGATGGAGGCTGTGGTGGGGACATTCACAGACCGGTAAGCATGCTTCTTTTACACTTTGTGCTACGCGGAAACCTCTCTCTCTCTCTCTCTCTCTCTCTCTCTCACATCCCCGCACTGTCACACACACATTCAGTTTCCTCTGAATTTCATTTTCTCATCACAGTTTATAATTCATAAATCATATAAAAACGAAATGAACTTGGATGAATAATAAAAGAAAAAAAAAACAACAACAAAAAAGGGAAAAAGGAAGGGAGAAAAAGAAATGAAGAAAGTTTCTCAGTCAGACGATGTAGCATGCATTGACTCGGCTATACTCCCTTCCATGGTCCACTTTACAAGGCCTTGCAAAATTTGAAGCTCCTCACCTATCTCGTCCACGTTTGCCAGCATTTTCAACTAATTTCATCGACACCCATATGAGATTACAGCTCCAGATTCCAGGGTGAAAATTGAGGGAGGAGAAAGGTGGAAGCTACCCAGAAGGTGTTTGTGGAAAATCCTCAAGAGTCCTTTTGGTCAATGAGGTCCACGTGCGCGTGAGTTTATGCCTCGTTGTGAAGTTCATTGGGTAGTAGTTGAGGAGGATGAGACACATGGAGGGAGTTATTCCATCTTTCATGGGTGTTTTACTCCTTTGTTCAATTTTAGTGTTTGATTGGGTGCTAAGTGTTTCTGGTAATGCCGAAGGTGGGTAGTAAATTTTTGTCCGTGCTCTTTGGTTTCTTTAATGTTTCATGTTACGGATGCTTTTAATACGTTGAGATGAGAAAATGCACTGTTTTGCTGCTCTTCTTGCTCTGTCAGCTATATTACTTGTTATTTGAGTTGATTGGCATACACATCTAGATAGGTTAATAGGATTTCCTGATGGAGCGGCTATTTTGATATTCTAACTTAAGCTTCACTGAATGTAACGCCTTTGTTCGAGTATGAACAGAGAGAGCTGAAGGGTTTTCATAAAATTCGTTCTTATGTTAAAAAGAACTGAAAGGTTCTGGTTTGGGTTGATCGTCTATTAAGAGGCAAAATTTTATTCTATGCTCAGAGTTCAGAGAAACTGTTGTGTAATTGTGTTCTTATACTTCATGGAGAATTGACGGGTGTGAGTTTGGGGAGATCTGTTCATCTTGGAATGGGCTGTCAAAATGTTTTTGATCTTTAGACATAAATCATATTTTTCTTTCTGTTTACATAAATCTCGTACTGTTCGGCCGTGTTTTTGAACTGTATCTAAGGATGAATTAAGAAAGTATCCCATTTGCTTCTTCTTCTTCTTCTTTTGTATTTCCCACTTTCCAGTGCAGCATAAACTTGACACCTTTTTTAATTAAATTTCGTTGAATACTTTTCTATGATTTGCTTTTCGTATTGTGAGCTGCTGAGATGTTGCTTGGATAACTCAATGCATGGTTTAATTTTAAGGATTTCTGCATCTGAATATTGCTTTTTTCTAAGACAGGTGAAGCCCTGAATGCATTTAGGACCAACGTGGCTGATCCTAACAATGTTCTTCAAAGCTGGGATGCTACCCTTGTCAATCCTTGCACATGGTTTCATGTTACATGCAATAGTGAAAATAGCGTGACCCGCGTGTAAGTTATTTACCGGATTTTTACCTATCATTTATGACCTATTCTGCATATGCTAAAACTTCGATTTATCTTTGGCCAGTGATCTTGGAAATGCCGACCTTTCAGGCTCACTAGTTGCACAGCTTGGTCAACTCCCAAATTTGCAGTACTTGTAAGTTGTTTATCGGATATGATTTTGTTGCAAACATTTCCATATTTTTCTGGGCATATTATGATTTGACATTATTTCTTGCGCCAGTATCTCTTCTGTCTTTGTGATTTTTTACTTGATGATTTTACCAGCAGTGTAGTGGCTGGCTTTCTAGAGTAGGCTTCCATTTCACTCGTTTCTTATTATGATGCCTCTGAGCTTCAAACTTGAGTGCAATTCATTTCTCAAAGTCTTAAATTCTCAGACTTTATCTTAAATATTATCCATACTGGCAAAGTATTTTCTATCTTTCCCCTCTGCCTTGTGCCCCCATCTAGCGAAGTTCAGGTGCTCTACTTCGTCCATCTATCTGTCGTCCTTTTTCATTCTATTTGGTCAACAAGCTATGAATAGGATATAATTATTTTGGGGGAAAAAGTCCTTATTCGTGTGATATTTTAATATCTGAATAACATTCTATACTGCTCTACTTCGTATTGGAACTCGTCATTCCTTCTGACTATTCTTTGGTACTTGTCTAGCTGTCTATCCCTTGTTCTCCTCCAGTCCTCCTGTGGTTTCCTACAGTAGAAATTCCAACAGGTTCCAAATTTCCTTATTTGTCCATGCTCTAGACTAATTTCTTATTTACGTCAAGCCTTTGATATGGGGCTTTCTTTTTTGGTGACATACAAGGAGCGTACTTTGCTGCTGGTAGTAGACTCTAATCTCCTCTGGGCTACTGATTATGAGGCCTCCAAGCATCAGAACGTGGGCCCTTTTTGCTTCTTTAACTCTTCTACAAATAAATAAATTCAGTCCAACCAAGGTTTGTCCACATAAAAGCATGTCAAATCTATAATTTTTTCATATAGGCAAATTTAACCAGGAAACGATGATAGAATGGAAGGAAAAATAAAAATATACAAGTCCTTATTCAATGTTATGAAAAATGCATATAAAATTGAGACTCAACAGTTAATCCATATTGTTGTATAATATACCACACCTCACTTTGTATAGAGAAGGACATAACATCTAAATTGAATATTATCGATCTTAGAGCCTACCTTACGACTCTTGATCTTCAATAGTTAAATTTTAAACCTTATGTCTGAAGATGAAATAGATACAAAAAATGTGAGTGATTTCATTGAACCATTTAAAGATTATCTCAGCCTCTGAATGGTCCTATGAAAATCTAGAACAAAAAAACTTATCTACTCTAGTTATTATCATGAACTATGCTGTTTATTATTCCCAAATCTTGTGATCAATCACTGGTTGTTACTATAATCAGATCAACTTTCTAATTCATGATGTTGATATTCTAAGGCATCTTGCTCCTCCTCTAGTTGTTTAAGAGACTGAATTATCTTGTGGAGCAGTTAGAAGTTAGCAGCTTTTGCTGTCTACCAAGCTTGTGCTTGACAGCAATGGTTATGTATTGTATGTATTGTATATCATACTTGACTCATCAATGATTGTGTGCCTGCTTCAATTTTCACCTTCTCAACCATAAGATATCAGCTGCTCCATGCCAATTTTGAGCTCATATCTGTCACCATCTAACTATTTGTTGGAATTTTCTTCGTTTTGCTCGAATCTGAATTCTTGTTCTTTTCTATGCCAGGGAGCTTTATAGTAATAATATAACTGGAAAAATCCCACCTGAGTTTGGAAATTTGACAAATTTGGTGAGCTTGGATCTGTATGCCAATCGCATATCTGGTGGCATCCCAGAATCACTGGGCAAGCTTCAAAAACTACGTTTCCTGTATGATATACTCTTAAATCTGCAGATTATATTTAAATCTGTTTCAATTTTCTTTCTCGATTAAATTGTCTTGGTTTTCTGTTAGGCATTCATACTGCACTGCGTTTGAGTGTTCATTTTAGCATCAGACTGTCATCAGTCAAATAGTTAGGGCTTTAAGCATGCATGGTTGAGGGTGAGCAATATGTTACAGTTGAATAAAGCACCTGTTGTCTTCCTGGTCTTTTTCCATGCAAATTTGTCATATCAAAGTGAATTTTAAAATGGGTTGGGTGCGGGTCATTGTTTTGCTGTCTAATGTATTCTCAGGAAAACTGAATAACAGTAAGCTGGAATCAAATTATTAATAATTTCTTACTTGCAATGTATATTGTATATTAGTTTTAAGATAAATTATTGCTTGGATTCCAAGGTCTATTATTTGTTATCCTCAATGGCAAACAAGTAGGCAATGCTCTGGATACCTCGTGTGGATATTAAGAGACTAATGAATCTTTTTGGTCTCTCCCTCTCTCTCTCTGGAAATGATGAAGTGGAAGCATCCAATGAATGGATTAATCATCTTCTACCTACTTTCATTCCCTCCCTTAATTCCATGAGTTTCTATTATACAAACAAAAAAGACAAGTTAATGTGACACAAAACGGCTTTGATTAATGTCAATTTTTTTTGAGATATTTATGGTAATAACTTTAACTTCAACAGTGGGTTTTTGTTAGAAAGAGTATTTTCATAAACAGTTCTTCAAAATAAGTTTTGGCATTTGCATTGGAGTGTTGCATTCTATTTCTTTATTAAATGATTATTGTTTGTCCTTTTTGTTTTCATATTTCCCTAATTTAGCTTACTATTATTTGCAAACTAATCCTCTTTGCTATTTGAAACAGGCGTCTCAACAATAACAGCTTGGCTGGAGTCATTCCCATGACCTTGACTACTGTTTATTCACTGCAAGTCCTGTGGGTGTTTTTTCTAAGTTTCAATGATCTTATGCAAATGTAGATGTAAGTTATATATATAATGAATTCTAAGCTCATGGTCGTTATGGAATCTAGTGATCTTTCAAAAAACAAGCTAGAAGGAGATATCCCAACCAATGGTTCATTTCAAGCGTTTACTTCCCTCAGGTTGGTGCAAGTGGTTTTGTTTATTTCTGGTGATTATTTGTGGGGGGGAGGGGAACATGTCAAAGTTTTGCTAATCATTTTGTTCCACTTACCAGTTTTAATGATAATCCCCATTTGAAACCAATAAACATTACACCTAGACCAATTTCGCCAACACCGCCGCCATCTTCAGGTTTGTTGATGTTTCTTTCAATAGTAATTTAAATTGTTGAAAAAACTATTCCACTTTAAAGCTTTAGTTAGAGAAAAACCTCATGCACAAACCTATTGAGCTTGAGGTTTACATTAGAACTACCTTAAATTATAACTAAACATAACTTTCTCTGAATTTTCTTGTACAAGAATGCTTAACTGCACTTCACATGTTACTGAACAATATGTTTTCATATTCATATTATACTAAGGCTATGTTTGGAAACCAGCTGGATTGTTTTCTAATGATAATGTAGTCATGATTAAAATTTTTGAATTGAATGATGATTTCCTGGTCAACTTGTATAATCTGTAAACTGGTTTAGGCAATAGTGCTACTGGAGCTATTGCGGGAGGAGTTGCTGCCGCCGCTGCCCTAATGTTTGCAGCCCCTGCCATTGCACTTGCTTATTGCCGGAAGAAGAGACCACAAGATTATTTCTTTGATGTTCCTGGTTAGTTGAATAATGCAAAAGATGGTATACATAACGATGGATGAATCATATGACAGACATAATTGATTTATCAACATTTTGCACTTTCATTGGCAGCTGAGGAGGACCCTGAAGTTCACCTTGGTCAGCTTAAAAAGTTTCCCCTGCGTGAGCTGCAAGTCGCAACAGACAACTTTAGTAGCAAAAACATTCTGGGTAGAGGTGGATTTGGTAAGGTTTACAAAGGACGGTTGACCGATGGGTCACTAGTTGCTGTGAAAAGACTTAAAGAGGAGCGCACTCAGGGTGGAGAGCTGCAATTTCAAACAGAAGTAGAAATGATCAGCTTGGCTGTCCATCGTAATTTGCTCCGGCTGCGTGGTTTTTGCATGACACCAACTGAACGGTTGCTTGTGTATCCTTTCATGGCTAATGGTAGTGTGGCATCATGTTTACGAGGTATCCCTATTCTTCGAGCTTGGTTGTTTGATTAACTTTTCCAGGAAGATTACTTTAATTAGCATTGCTTGTACGCATAATTGAACCCCGTATTTGTTTCCCATAAAAGGAAACCTTGTATTTCCCTTTCAAGTAATAGTCTTGTTAATTTGAAATATGAAATATGAATTATGAATTATGCAATTCTTAGAAGTTATTTGGCACTAAGATGCAAATACGGCGTCTCCAAAAAAAAAAAAAAATCTTACTGTTAATATTTGAACCTGTAGTTTCTTATTGAAGATGTGTTTGTGCGTATTGGGTTTACACTCTATTATCTTCTAATGTCTTAGACCGCCCGGAATCAAAGCCTCCACTTGAATGGCCTGTTCGGAAGAGGATTTCACTTGGAGCTGCTAGGGGGCTTGCTTATTTGCATGACCATTGTGATCCAAAGATCATTCACCGTGATGTTAAAGCTGCAAATATATTATTGGATGAAGAATATGAAGCAGTTGTTGGGGACTTTGGCTTGGCAAAACTAATGGATTACAAAGACACTCATGTTACAACTGCTGTGCGTGGTACAATTGGGCACATTGCGCCAGAATACCTCTCCACCGGAAAGTCTTCGGAGAAGACTGATGTTTTTGGTTATGGCGTGATGCTTCTTGAACTAATAACCGGACAGAGGGCTTTCGATCTTGCACGACTCGCCAATGATGATGATGTCATGTTACTTGATTGGGTATGTTATCTTTTTTTCTCATAACTGTGTCGCTAACATTTATACGAGGTAATTAATGTGACGAAACATCTTTTGCTAACTGTAGTGTCATTTGGTCTCCTTTAATGGTTCTTATGACCAAAAAGTTATCAATATTTCCAAAGATTTCCTAATAATCGAAGAAAGCACTGTTCTTTGCCAATAATTGTCTTGTACAAACTTATATGTTGGTTGAGTTAAATTGCTAGTTTAAATGTTAATGCTGAAGAACCAATGGATGATACCTTAAGTAGATAGAATTTGAACACATACCCTGTTCCTCTTTCCATGATTTGGCAACCTGAAACTGCTTTGGATTCAGGTGAAAGGGCTTTTGAAAGACAAGAGATTGGAAACACTTGTGGATGCTGATTTGGAGGGCAAATATAACGAAGAAGAGGTGGAGCAACTAATCCAAGTGGCCTTGCTCTGCACGCAAAGCTCGGCTATGGAACGGCCAAAGATGTCTGAGGTGGTGAGGATGCTTGAAGGTGATGGTTTGGCTGAAAAGTGGGATCAGTGGCAGAAAGATGAGATGTACAGGAGAGATAATCAAACTCTTCTCCCTCATCCTAACTGGCTCATTGTGGACTCGGGTTCACATATCCCCCCAGATGAACTGTCTGGTCCCAGATGATCTTCTCAACTCTAGTACTGTGAAGCATCTACACAATCCTTTCATACCTATAGAAGATGGCTCAAACCATTTGGAAGTGATAGTACTCAGCAAGAACGTCATAGCATTTGATTTTCACTGTAGCTTGTTTTTCTTCCTTTTGAATTATGCTGTCTAGATAAAATCAAATTCGCCATTGATCATGTTGTGATCGTTGGAAGAAATGTATAATTGGTACTGTAGTCCACAACTGACCATCACTTAGTGTTGTATCATATGTATTAAAAATTGGTGGAGATTATAGAAAATAAATGAAAGTCTTTTTACGAGTTCAAACTTTATAGACGAAAAAATTACCTTGGGAAAGCTCTTATTATTTGGGTCCAATAATATTTTAAATTCAGATTAGTTGATGGATAGGATACTAAAGTTGGATCTCATGAATGAGTTTAGTGTGCGATGCTCAAGTGGCACTAATAAAAAAAAAAGGATAAATTTATTATATAATTAAAAATTAAAAATATAACAATATCATAAAATTGTTGGTATTATAATTGCCATGCAGGGCATCCAAATTCTTGATTCTAGATATTTTTATAAGAAAAAAAAAAGTGAGGGAAAGGACACTTGGGTCCCAAAAGATTAATTTTTTATATCTCAAAATATTTTGGTGGAAAATGAGTTGTAAATGTATGAATGAATATTGTAATTAATATATTTAAGTCTCATTGGTCATTTCTCATGATTTACAACTAGGGTTTTTATATTTGTAACTCATTTTTTAACAAAATTTAAATAATAAAAATGAATTATATGCATACAAATACTCAACTTTATAATAATTGATTGCAAATAATTCAATTATAGAAGACAAATATGCATAGGGGTGAAGATAGAGGACCAAGAGCGTCACAACCCCCAACTTTTAAATTTTTTGAAATAAAATAGTTATATATATATATTGATCCCCAAAATATATTTGTGTATATTTAATAGTAATAAAATTTAACTTTGCCTACTTACTAAACATACACTGATATGTGGAAAAAAAAAAATTGCCTTGAAAAAATATATGTTAAACATAAGATTTACTTTATAATGTGCAATTGAACATCATTATCATGTTGATACATTTGCCATTGTCATAGATTATTAAGTGTATAAATTAAATAATAGATTTGGTGACGATTAACATAGCTTTTTAAATTGAGCATGGCTTTAGATCTAAAGAATGCACTTAAATCATTAAATACTAGGGACATATGTAATCTTGTTGGGAAATTTTTTTTCTTCATATTTCTATGATCAAGAAAAAATTTGATTGGAATATAAATTATAACGAGTTTAATATTCTCAAAAATCCTAATTTTTAGAATTTGACTACTATGCATAAATTATGTCAAAAGTTTATATATAGAGATTGGAAAATTATTATGAGCTTGTATTAACTCTTCTAGTATACAACCACTATAATTGAGAAGGATTTTTTAGCTATGAAAATTATAAACAAGGTACTAAAAATAAAGTTGATTATTGAACTAATTAAGGAAAGGGTTTAGGGGTCAAATGTTCAACTCTGGTTGAATTGAAAGTCAAATAGGCCATAATAAAAAAATATTATTTAAAATAAAAAGACATTGATATTGAAAATATCCATTCATGTCCAAAACTTAATGCATCTCCCATCCAATATTCATTTAATGTTTTATAAATATAAATTAATAATTATGGGGAATAAAATATTTGTAATTGTAATATTTATAAATTAGATATTAGGTTTTTTGGGAAATATGTATTGCATCCTTGTGCTATCGGTATTCATTAATTTATGATTTTAAAAAAGGCTAAAATGCATAAAAAATCCCTAAATTTTAAGGCAATTGTATATATCCTTTTATCTTTAAAAATTTAAAATTAACTCCCTAACTTCTAATTTTATTTTTCAAAACTCCTACTATTAATTTTGTTATTTTTTTTCATGAGGGTTTAAATATCATTCAACTAAAAAATATTATTAAAATATTATATTGTATAACTATTTATAATAAATTTCTTATGTTTTTTGGATAGTTGAGGTATTGATAACAAAAAAAGTGTTATTATCACTATATAAAATTTTAAATATTTATGTTTATATTAGTTTTATTCATTTTTTTTTGTAAGCAATGGTACATGATTTTTTTGTTTTAAAAGAAAATTTTTTATTTTTATTTTCATATTAGATTAATATAATGCATATGACTGAAATATTTAAAATTTTAAATATTATCATGTTAGATTAATTTATTTTTTAATACAAGAAAACTATGTACCATTGGTAATAAAAAATAAATAAAATCAATACAAAAGTAAATATTTAAAATTTTATCTGATGATAGTAACATTTGTTTTGACTATTATCAATACCTCAACTATCTAAAAAATAAAAAAAATTAATTAGTCATAGCTCTACAATATAATATCTTGTTTAATAACATTTTTTTAGTTAAATGTCATTTTAACACTTATGAAAAAAATAATAAAATTAATAGTAGGGGGTTTTAAAAAATAAAATTAAAAGTTAGGGGAGTTAATTTTAAATTTTTAAAAGTAAGGAGAGTCATATATAACTGTTTCAAAATTTAAAAAGATTTTATATATTTTAACCTTTAAAGAATTATCCAGACACAATGCCAATGTTAATTGATGGCCAAAAAAAATACAAATTCTAAGTGTTTGTGGTTTTTTTAGAAAAAACTTTTAACCCGTTGCAAGTAAAAAGCCCCAAGGCTTGGATACAAGGAAATAAAATAAAAGAAAAAAGTTAATTGATAAGGAGATAATGCCGTTCAAATTGATTCTTTCAAGATTTGACATTGATTTCTGTCTTACATAATGTCTTATTGTTTTTAATATTTGGAAAATATAAATTAAGAGAACCAAACAGAAATAAATATACGGCTAGAATTTTCTTCAGTTTAATGCTATTATTATTGTTATTATCTTTTTTGATGCATTATTATTGTTGTTGTTATTATTATTCATTCCATTAACTTTTGTGGTGTGACTTACAAGCTACTCTTTCCTAAATAAGTGATGGCGAGAAATAGAGAGAAAGTTGGGGATTAAAGGAAATTCTTACCATTTTTGTCAGTATTTTTCCACAACATTATTGCATGAAATATTTCTTTCACATTGTTACGTATGCTGTAATCAGGGGGGAAAATATGAGCTGTAACCATAAAATTTATTATTCATTAACCCGATGTGTTTAGGTATAAAAAAATAACACTCATTCATTTTTTTTAACCTTAAAATTGAATACATATATGTGTGTGTTATTTTTTTTAACAAGAAAATAGTATTATTTAAATTGAAATTTTGTAAATTTGTTATTTATATTATTTTTTATAGTTTTTTAAAATAAAACCCGTGCAATACACGAGATTTGGGCTAATTACAAAGGAACCCTTCACTTCAAAGATTATAAGCTAATCCCAAACTATGGGATGAAACAATGAACCTCAAACCTATGGGATAAGACAATGAGGGAATAAACTCCCTATATCCAATACAACAAGATATCCTTTATATAGGGTTTATGATTACTAACAACCTTGGATAATTAATTTTAATAACCAACTAATTACCTTAATAATTTTAACCTTCCAACAAGTACATTTAGTTATTATAAAGAAATCCTCAAACTTAATTAAAAAAGACAAACAAAATCTGGTTTAAGTTTTAAAGAATGGCCTTATAGTAAAAAAGTACTTCTAGGAAAGAAAAATCCCTGTCGTGTTAGGTCATGTCTTTTATCTTCCTTTAGTCGGAAAATAAATACAATTAAAAAGTGATATATTATTGTTATTATTATTTTTAAGAAAAAGAAAGCCAGTGCCCTTTAGTCTTAAATGGATCGTGGGTCAAACGCGAAATAAAAAGAGAAACCTGACGTTAGAAGACGAACACACTTTCTTTTTTTATACCAAAAATCAATTGACCCATGCCATGTGAAAAAAGTATGGGCCTGAATTTTCATGGAAAACAATATTTTATTAAAGATAGGGTAAATTTTATGTTGATGTATTGCGTTTTTTCAGTACTGGCTCCATGCCTCCATTTGTTTGATGATTTAAAAATCCAACTAATTATTGAACTTGATGAGATAGTAATTTAAGAGTCAATAATTGGACAATGATCAAATTATGATTAAATTTAATTAATTTGATATATTTTTAATTTTATATGTTAAATATAATGTTGGAGGTAATATTTCATAAACTATTATTTTTTTAAAAAATTAAATTTATAGGATGAATTTAAATAAAAATTGTGCTTTTTTTATGTTAAATATCATCTTATTAGTATATAAAAATTGGAAGGTAAGAAAGTGTGACATGGCCATCTTTTCAATTTAACAAAAATGTTTTTATTTAAAAAATAACAGAAATATTGTCATAAGCCCTTAACAATATAATTTAATAAAATCAATAAGTATTTTACAATTTTTTAAAAATAAAAAATTGTTATGAGAGGTAACATTTTTTCTATATCTTCTTCGGTTCTTCCATGCATGGTAGACTAAATGGTCAATATATAATTTGGCAGAAAATTTCTCGTCTCACTTATAAAGGTTAAGGTGCTTGGATTCAATCCTTCTAAAATGATTTTAAATTTTGATTGTCAAAAAAAAAAAATCACACACTCCAATTGATTATATAAATTATCTATTCTAAAAAAAGTTTTATTGTCCTAAATATAAATTATTTTAAAAAAATTGTGTAGTATTAATTAGTTTAGGTAATTTGGCAAACTGAGTATATTCAAGTCGGACTTAATACAAGCTAAGCTTATTTAGGTCAATTTGAATAAGTTGAACTTAATTAAAAGCCTAAATAGCTAAATTTGACTCCAATCTCACTGGGCTTTGGGCTTATTTGCACCAATACTTGAATTATCCATTTTTTTTTCATTTTTTAAAATCAATTTTAATTACATTTTTACTTTAAAATTAATTATTTTTATTTTTTGAAAAATATAAAATATATTTTTTGGATACTTAAATGATAAGAAGACTCAAACTATTTTTAAAAAAGTATGTGAGTCTTAAAATTTAACAATTAATATTAAAGTACATTTAAAAATATGACAATATAAATATTTTTAATTTTTTAAAAATATTTATAATAATGTACTTAAATATATGATATCTTGATATAAAATGATTTAGAACTTAAAGAATTCATTAATATCTAATATATTTTTAAAATAAAATTTTTTCATATTCAAGTATTTGGACAAGGCTTGTCTTGAAATATTTAACTCAAACATTTTAAAAAGCATAATTTTATTAA